AATTATAAGAATGTTAAATCTTTGTTGCAATATAAGTCTAACAGACTGTAAAAAATAAATAAATAAATAAATAAATAAATAAATAGTGCCCGAGAGAATAACAGCTTCAGACTCCCGAAGTATAGAACAGAAGTTGACAAAAAAAATATTTTCTATAAAGGCCTAAAGTGCTTCAATGAATTACCAGAGGCTATAAAATATTGTGATACTATCACTCTTTTCAAGCGGCTGCTATTTGACTATTGTAGAACGCAGCCTACAAGATAGTGATGTATCAACAATAGCGTGGATTGGAAACTAGGCCTTTCCAACCACCAAGATATCGAGACTAGGCGGATCGGAAACTCGGCCTTTCCAACTACCTAGACCCTTAGATAATAAACAATAAACGAGCGGATTGGAAACTAGGCCTTTCCAACCGTTAACCGTCACGAAAGCGCGACTGGGTGGATCGGAAACTCGGCCTTTTTGACCACCCAGGAGATATCAATAAATGGAGTAACCCAAAAAGAATAGCGCGGATTGGAAACTCGGCCTTTCCAACCGTCTACATAACTTCCAGAAAATTGCATGCGTTTATAGTGACATAAAATAATTGCAGTGATAAAGAAATAATGTTTTTTAAAAAATTCTGTAGAGCATTTTGTATTTTGTATTTAATATTTAATATTTACATTTTAAATCTAAAATCTAATTATAAGAATGTTAAATCTTTGTTGCAATATAAGTCTAACAGACTATAAAAAATAAATAAATAAAATAAAATAAAATATTGATATAGTTACAATCAGCGTAAAAAGTGCTAGCAATCTGCATTTTTAGTATTTATATAGCTGAACGGTTGGTTATCTTGATGTATGCCTACCTTTCTTCGTAGGCGGCCTTCGGCCGCACTTAGGGATTATAACTAAGAAAATTTTCTGAACACCTTTTGCAGAGAACACCTTTNCTTTCTGCGTAGGAGGAGTTCGGTCGCACTTAGGGATTATAACCCTCACAAAATAGAATTCTCTTTCTGTTTTGCGAAGAAAAGGAGCTGAACACCTTTTGCAGAGAACACCTTTGTATATTATTAATGCTTACTGGGTTATATCCTATCTTCATTTGTCTCTCATTCTTTTGCATATTTTGGAGTTTGACAGCTGAACTCCGCCATTTAATTTGCATATGCAACCAAAGTCAGACGCGTGATTTTGAAGGTGTTTTTATTTAATGAATTGTGATTAATTGATCAATATTAAAGTCGTAAAGCAAGTTATAACTAATCGAGTGAAGTGTAAACTGAAGGGGAATACAAAAATGTATTGGTGAAGTGGCTGCTTTAAGGAGAATAGTAGTGATAAATGTACGCTAATTTCCGAATTTTACAAAAAAGGACATATTTCAAACCCAATTTGTAAATAAATTTGCGACCAAAATTTACAAAAGTGAGTGTTGAAATAATGTGTAGACCCTTGACTACAAGTGTGTGGAATTTTTTTTGGATCGGGCCACCCCTTTGGACGGAATAGCCCGAAATAGTTGTGAGCGCTACTAAACCCCACCTAAATAAACTATTTTATGTTGAAAAAACTATGTGTTTGTGTAATAATAAAGTTAAATTATACGTTTTAATAGTGTTTTAAAAGTGGAAACCGGTGATTTAGTGCATTTTTGACGAGGTAATTGCTCATAGAAAACAACGATATTTAACAAGTTTTTTGTCCTCCCCTCCGGATTGTTAATAAGGGGACCGAAACGCGTCGTTTGGTACCCCTCCCGACTTTTCCGGTCCTTTTTTAGCAGTTCCAGCCCTCTACTAGAGAATTACCCAAATTCCTTAAAAACTGTAAGGTTGCGCGCTTTGAAACTTCATACAGGGAACTATTAGACTCCCCTCTACCTCCCATATTTTCCGTAATGCTGTACTCCGGGATTACCAATCTAAAGCCCACCCTTTGCATTGTTCAACTTTGCATTCAAGTTTTGGTTGAACGGCCTTTCAACTAATCGCTTTCAACAAAGTTGGTCGCCAGCCAACATTTAGCCATTCAACTTTTTTCGTGGAACCCTGCGTGAGTTGAAAGCAAAAGTTGAACGCAAAATCGCCTCGTTTGAACACCTTTTGAATATTGAATTTATCCTCCCGAAAAATTAACCTACCTGTTACACAATCTTCGTATCAACAGGAAGTCAAGAAAACGACAGTAAAAACGATTATATAAACATTTTTTAGGGTTTGGTTGGATCGAATATATGCTGAAAACTTATTAAACCTTACACATACCCCGAAACCTGTATGATGTACGAATATATTTCTGCCGAGTCAATTCCTGTATGAACGTCTTATAAACGGAAATAATTAATGGCAAGGAATTGAAATTTCCTAAAAATATTAATGCTAGTCATATTATCACGTCACGAATTTGGGTACAAAATATTTTTGAGTGATTAATAGCAACCACTTTGTGAATTAATCAATTATAATATGAATCATTTGATCTTTATTTCAGATTACTAGGCAGGCATACTTTGAAATTTATAAACTTGCTACGCCTAAGTCTCGTAAAATCCAAAAGGAATTAGGTTGATAACACTTTTAGTTAAATGCTCATACATACGCAGTAGTTTTAAACGTTCCACATCTCACTTTCTCGAAAATACATGTGTAAAAACTCTTAAATAATTATTTTCCACAAGGTCAATTGCTTGGTTAGATAACATCCTTTGAGGTTATGAAAAGCTCATAATTATAAGTCCAGGTGAAATTGTTGTAAATTCAAGCAAATCCACAATCTAGAATTTTCTAGTTTTACTGTTCCGAATAGTTCAGAAAAATATAGTTAAAAAGTTATAGGTAAGAAACGCCACTTACCCTAAGGTTAACACATCTAAGAAACTGAGACATAATATACCGTTATTAAACCACTTAAAATAATAGCAGCTACAATATGTAACACGCTTCTTTAAATATTTGCTGCAACAAAACTGGATGCAGTTTTCCCCGGCTTAGAAACCGCTTATACCTATGAAGTGCTACTTTAAAAATACCACAAAACAAAATACTTCAAGAGACCGGGACCGCAGAATTTTTTAGCAAATAATCGATACCAGCGATTTATAGAAGATGGAAAATTTCCATCGGTAGTGTTCATGAACCAAAAATACATGTGTGTCTTTCGTTAATGGGTAGTGTTCAAGTTCTGAACACCTTGAAAACGACGAGCTACCCAAAAAGGTGTTCTCTGCAAAAGGTGTTCAGAAAATTTTCTTAGTTATAATCCCTAAGTGCGGCCGAAGGCCGCCTACGAAGAAAGGTAGGCATACATCAAGATAACCAACCGTTCAGCTATATAAATACTAAAAATGCAGATTGCTAGGACTTTTTACGCTGATTGTAACTATATCAATATTTTATTTTATTTTATTTATTTTTTTTTTATAGTCTGTTAGACTTATATTGCAACAAAGATTTAACACTCTTATAATTAGATTTTAGATTTAAAATGTAAATATTAAATATTAAATACAAAATACAAAATGCTCTACAGAATTTTTTAAAAAACATTATTTCTTTATCACTGCAATTATTTTATGTCACTATAAACGCATGCAATTTTCTGGAAGTTATGTAGACGGTTGGAAAGGCCGAGTTTCCAATCCGCGCTATTCTTTTTGGGTTTGTCATTTTTATTATCTAAGCGCTTTGTCGATGGCGACATGATTTCTTTGAACGCGGCAGCGACATCATGAATTTGTATGAGTTTGACATAAAAGAAGAGGAAGAACCTTATCTGTCGCCAGAAAAATAGAAATAGATCTAATCTGGCCACAACCACAGCCGTCGCGTAGCCCGGTCGTCGCCAAAATAATTATCTACATAAGAGTACGTGTTAAAATAATTTGATTTACTGTATATATATGTTGTATAGTTCTTACAAAAATTTAATTAATGTAAAACAGTTATAAAAAAAAAGCTTACAAACCCTAAGTGCGGCCGACGCCGCCTACGCAGAAAGGTGCTCTCTGCGAAAGGTGTTCAGTGCCTTTTCTTAGCAACACAGAAACATAAATCTACGTTGTGAGGGTTATAATCCCTAAGAAGGAAGGTGTTCTCTGCAAAAGATATTTTTTTTTATAATTATTTTACATTAATTCAATTTTTGTAAGAACTATAGAACGTATATATAAAGTAAGTATACCCAAATAAAGGGAATCAAATTTCCTATTAAATGAGGTCAAAATTTTCAAGATCCTTGTATCCGATTTTAAGAAATCTGGATTTCAATAATTGCTATTTTGAACTCTAACCTTTGATAATTTTTGTTGTTGTTCTTTGCCCAAAAAAAGAAGTATACCGTTATACTCAGCTCAATCATCTCTATCGATTCCAATAATTTATTTTTTTTTGAGATTTGGATCCCAACTGCATTTGTTCCAAATTTCATATATTCTTCTAAACAAAAGTTGTTTGCTTATAGTATATTCGTAATCAAATGAAATAAAATAAGATAAAATACCTTTTTATGAAAAAAATGTGTATACTGAGTAAAACAAAAAGATATTAAAATATATTATTAGGCAAGGAATAATTAAAGAACTAACACTGTTTTAGCTAAGGTAGTCAATATGGCGGAATTAGAGCGAGAAGCTGCCAACCGATAACACCTTGTATTATTGCATCATGTACAAAGACCCTTCCGACAGTTTCTTTCACATTCCCAAGACAGCCGGTTCTACGTACCGGAATGACTCGGGTTTTCCCCGACCAAGGGCTGTTGTTTCGGCGACTTAACCCCGCTTAGATCGGCGATACCCCTCAATCATTGTTCGTCCATGGAGCAACTCCTTGCAGCCGGATTGCTCCACATCCTTCTTCTCCGGGCGGGCGTAGAGCCCAACCCCGGACCAGAAACGTATTTCTGCTGTTTTTGCCAGAATCGACTCCATCCAAACTCCACTTCGGTTAGGTGCAATTCATGCAACGGATGGAGTCACCTAAGAACCTGCTCTGGTCTTAGGTCCATCGGGAGTGGACCACAAGCTATGTGGCTCCCTGCTGCTCAAACCAAACGGCACAATCAGCCTCCCCGGCTACCCGCTCGCGCAACGCTCCCAACACCCAAAGAGCCTGCACGGCTCCGAGAAGCTCCTCTGGGCAGCAGCAAACCTCCCGAAGTTGCACAGCAACTCAACTCTGTTGGGTTGCGCCGCCTACAATGTGCGCTGTAAAGATCGCGAGCGAGATAATGATGGCGGACTAGCGTTCATCCTACAACACACAGTGCAGTATCGGCTTATCGAAGAAGACATCGACCCGAGGGACACCTCTCTAGAATGTCAGGGCATAGCTGTCCGGTCAGGCGATGTCGAGCTCGAAATATTCAACGTCTATATACCCCCTGTCACCTTCTGCCCGGCAGGATATTACCCTGACATAGGTGCGCTACTCAGAGGCAGGGTACGAAAATAAACTGTACAAAACAATTCCCATTTGCTCACAGATCATCATATCATTTGTGGTTTTGTACAATTTTGTACATAGTCAGAAACAAATTCTAAGATTCACTGTCATTTTCCCCAACGAGAAACGTTTGCTTTTCGTTTGTGACAATTGTACCATATTGTACGTTTTATATGTATGCAAACGTTTTAATTACGTGAAAAATATTTTTTTCTGTCAATTTTCATATCCAATTCAGTTAAAAAACATTTTAATTTTTTTTTATTCATTGCAGCCATTCGTTTTGTATTTAGTTATTGCATATATGTACATACATACATATATTTTTCTCTGCACGGTTCATTCCGTTTGTTGTTTCGTCTGTAACTACTAAACTACTGTAGTGTACTATCGCCAAAGTGAACTCAGCCGTTTTGTTTTCGTATTGTACCGAACTGTTGAAGTAATAAACAAAAGGAAATAGTAACGTACAATATAGTTTATTTTCGTACACTGCTCAGAGGTGAAAACCGAATGGTAGTAGGTGACCTCAACGCGCACCACGATCTCTTGCACTCAAGCCTGGAAAATGATTGTAGGGGAAACCTTTTGGCTGAGCAGATAGACGATTCGACATTCTGCACCATGAACGACGACGCCCCCACCAGGATTATGGGTAGCTGCAGCAGCTCGCCAGACCTCACACTTGCTAGCGCTGATTTGATCAATAGCATTTCATGGCGACCTATGCTAACACTAGCATCAGACCATCTACCCATAATCATTTCGATCAATAAGCCCACCGACTTTGCTCTCGCGGACCACCGAACCTACACCAACTTCAACAAAGCTGATTGGGACGGCTTCGCGGAACTTACCGAGAGCAGCTTCGCCGCCCTTCCCACAGGGACTGAAGCGATGGTCGGCGAATTATATGAGTGGTCGACAGTTGTCAGTAATCTTCCGAGATCACACCTCGAAACCAAGAAGGATTAAACAAGGGGTTCCACAAGTTGGTGTTCTCTCCCCCTTACTATTTAACTTCTACATCTCGAAGCTTCCTCAACTACCTCACTGAGTTTCCCTAATCTCAAATGCTGACGATTGCTCGATATTGGCGTCCGGGAATAGAATTGATGACCTCTGCTCAAAAGTAAACGACTATCTCTCCAGCTTTACTCGCTTCTTCACTGCAAGGAGCCTAACACTCTCCCCAACGAAATCAACGNTACCTCACTGAGTTTCCCTAATCTCAAATGCTGACGATTGCTCGATATTGGCGTCCGGGAATAGAATTGATGACCTCTGCTCAAAAGTAAACGACTATCTCTCCAGCTTTACTCGCTTCTTCACTGCAAGGAGCCTAACACTCTCCCCAACGAAATCAACGGCGACCCTCTTCACCACCTGGACGAAGGAGGTCAGGCTAGAATTAGGTATACCCGTCGATACAAATACCAACTGTAAACAACCCGAAAATTTTAGGGGTCACCTTCGTTAGCCTGCTCCCCTACTCCACGCACACAACCGCAGTTGTCAATAAAGTACAGAGCCGCAACAAGGTTCTCAAGTCGCTCGCCGGCAGCACTTGGGGCAAAGACAAAGAAACGTTGCTGGCAACATACAAGGCAATTGGCCGGCCGGTTCTAAACTATGCTGCGCCAGTTTGGACGCCGGGGACTAGTTGGACGCAGTGGACGAAGCTACAGACTTGTCAGAACGCCGCACTCCGGACAGCAACTGGGTGCCTTCTGATGACGCCTGAGCACCACCTACATAGCGAGGCCCAAGTGCTCCCCGTAAGGGAACACAATAAAATGCTTTGTAAGCAATTTCTGTCACAGGGGTGTTACAGAAGTGAACACCCAAACAGACCTTTGCTTCAGGAGGAGCCTCCGCCCAGGCACGTCAGGGGGCACCTATTCGTGTACAAGGACGCAGTCCAACAGTACGTAGACCAACCATTGGACCCGACGACATACAGACGAGCCATCAACGACATTCATAGAGAGTCAGTTACCACCTACCTCGACTCTCGACCTATGAATGCCGTAATAGGAGCCCAATCACCACCTGTAGAAGAGACGGAGCTTCAACTGCCAAGAGAGACCCGCGTTACCCTGGCTCAATTACGGTCTGGATACTGTAGCCGGCTAAACAGCTACCTGTCCAGACTCGACTCCAATATCCCCAATGAGTGCCCGGCATGTGGAGAATCCCCTCACGACACCAACCACCTCTTTACATGCCAGCTCAATCCGACTCAGCTAACACCCCTCTCCCTCTGGTCCGAACCCATTGAAACAGCTCGCTTCCTGGGCCTCCCGTTAGTTGAGCTTGACGAAAATGATTGAATGTAGACCCGAAAAAAGCGGGGCTTAGTAGTGCCGCTACAACAACAACAACAACAACAACAACAGTTTCTTTCGCCATTCTATTCGGCTTTGTTTACCTTGGAACAAGTAAAGCCCAAAATACAATAACGCAGTGGCAGTGGCAGCGGCAGTTTTTCGAAATCAGCTGTTTTTTAGAAAGTGTGGTGTCCAATGAGGCGAATCACAATACAGCAGTGGCAGCTAGCAGTACTGCTCAGTTTAGCCCAAATTCTAAGTTCACTGCCACTGCCTTCATCGCAGCAAACTTCGCTTGTTGAATTTGACATTAATGAAACGCAGGCAACTTCTGTT